AGATCCCCGGCAGCAATAACAGAATTAACTATGCAGAGGACAAAAGTCAAAGGTCAAACCAGTAGAAGAGTAGTAGGAGAAACTGAATAAATATCACGAACTTACCAAACACCTCTCCACTTTGGGCTGGTTGGCTCCCTATATTCTTTGTCAAAGAGGGATCTGAGTACAGACAGAAAAGAAGGCAAAACAGAATGGGCAACAACAGACAGAACTGAGAGATTACCTTCTATAACTTGCATGTTGATGTCTTTGATCCTAAAAACAGTTTAAATTCCATCAGTTCTGCCTAAAAACAGTTTAAATTCCATCAGTTCTGCCTAAAAACAGTTTAAATTCCATCAGTTCTGCCTAAAAACAGTTTAAATTCCATCAGTTCTGCCTAAAAACAGTTTAAATTCCATCAGTTCTGCCTAAAAACAGTTTAAATTCCATCAGTTCTGCCTAAAAACAGTTTAAATTCCATCAGTTCTGCCTAAAAACAGTTTAAATTCCATCAGTTCTGCCTAAAAACAGTTTAAATTCCATCAGTTCTGCCTAAAAACAGTTTAAATTCCATCAGTTCTGCCTAAAAACAGTTTAAATTCCATCAGTTCTGCCTAAAAACAGTTTAAATTCCATCAGTTCTGCCTAAAAACAGTTTAAATTCCATCAGTTCTGCCTAAAAACAGTTTAAATTCCATCAGTTCTGCCTAAAAACAGTTTAAATTCCATCAGTTCTGCCTAAAAACAGTTTAAATTCCATCAGTTCTGCCTAAAAACAGTTTAAATTCCATCAGTTCTGCCTAAAAACAGTTTAAATTCCATCAGTTCTGCCTAAAAACAGTTTAAATTCCATCAGTTCTGCCTAAAAACAGTTTAAATTCCATCAGTTCTGCCTAAAAACAGTTTAAATTCCATCAGTTCTGCCTAAAAACAGTTTAAATTCCATCAGTTCTGCCTAAAAACAGTTTAAATTCCATCAGTTCTGCCTAAAAACAGTTTAAATTCCATCAGTTCTGCCTAAAAACAGTTTAAATTCCATCAGTTCTGCCTAAAAACAGTTTAAATTCCATCAGTTCTGCCTAAAAACAGTTTAAATTCCATCAGTTCTGCCTAAAAACAGTTTAAATTCCATCAGTTCTGCCTAAAAACAGTTTAAATTCCATCAGTTCTGCCTAAAAACAGTTTAAATTCCATCAGTTCTGCCTAAAAACAGTTTAAATTCCATCAGTTCTGCCTAAAAACAGTTTAAATTCCATCAGTTCTGCCTAAAAACAGTTTAAATTCCATCAGTTCTGCCTAAAAACAGTTTAAATTCCATCAGTTCTGCCTAAAAACAGTTTAAATTCCATCAGTTCTGCCTAAAAACAGTTTAAATTCCATCAGTTCTGCCTAAAAACAGTTTAAATTCCATCAGTTCTGCCTAAAAACAGTTTAAATTCCATCAGTTCTGCCTAAAAACAGTTTAAATTCCATCAGTTCTGCCTAAAAACAGTTTAAATTCCATCAGTTCTGCCTAAAAACAGTTTAAATTCCATCAGTTCTGCCTAAAAACAGTTTAAATTCCATCAGTTCTGCCTAAAAACAGTTTAAATTCCATCAGTTCTGCCTAAAAACAGTTTAAATTCCATCAGTTCTGCCTAAAAACAGTTTAAATTCCATCAGTTCTGCCTAAAAACAGTTTAAATTCCATCAGTTCTGCCTAAAAACAGTTTAAATTCCATCAGTTCTGCCTAAAAACAGTTTAAATTCCATCAGTTCTGCCTAAAAACAGTTTAAATTCCATCAGTTCTGCCTAAAAACAGTTTAAATTCCATCAGTTCTGCCTAAAAACAGTTTAAATTCCATCAGTTCTGCCTAAAAACAGTTTAAATTCCATCAGTTCTGCCTAAAAACAGTTTAAATTCCATCAGTTCTGCCTAAAAACAGTTTAAATTCCATCAGTTCTGCCTAAAAACAGTTTAAATTCCATCAGTTCTGCCTAAAAACAGTTTAAATTCCATCAGTTCTGCCTAAAAACAGTTTAAATTCCATCAGTTCTGCCTAAAAACAGTTTAAATTCCATCAGTTCTGCCTAAAAACAGTTTAAATTCCATCAGTTCTGCCTAAAAACAGTTTAAATTCCATCAGTTCTGCCTAAAAACAGTTTAAATTCCATCAGTTCTGCCTAAAAACAGTTTAAATTCCATCAGTTCTGCCTAAAAACAGTTTAAATTCCATCAGTTCTGCCTAAAAACAGTTTAAATTCCATCAGTTCTGCCTAAAAACAGTTTAAATTCCATCAGTTCTGCCTAAAAACAGTTTAAATTCCATCAGTTCTGCCTAAAAACAGTTTAAATTCCATCAGTTCTGCCTAAAAACAGTTTAAATTCCATCAGTTCTGCCTAAAAACAGTTTAAATTCCATCAGTTCTGCCTAAAAACAGTTTAAATTCCATCAGTTCTGCCTAAAAACAGTTTAAATTCCATCAGTTCTGCCTAAAAACAGTTTAAATTCCATCAGTTCTGCCTAAAAACAGTTTAAATTCCATCAGTTCTGCCTAAAAACAGTTTAAATTCCATCAGTTCTGCCTAAAAACAGTTTAAATTCCATCAGTTCTGCCTAAAAACAGTTTAAATTCCATCAGTTCTGCCTAAAAACAGTTTAAATTCCATCAGTTCTGCCTAAAAACAGTTTAAATTCCATCAGTTCTGCCTAAAAACAGTTTAAATTCCATCAGTTCTGCCTAAAAACAGTTTAAATTCCATCAGTTCTGCCTAAAAACAGTTTAAATTCCATCAGTTCTGCCTAAAAACAGTTTAAATTCCATCAGTTCTGCCTAAAAACAGTTTAAATTCCATCAGTTCTGCCTAAAAACAGTTTAAATTCCATCAGTTCTGCCTAAAAACAGTTTAAATTCCATCAGTTCTGCCTAAAAACAGTTTAAATTCCATCAGTTCTGCCTAAAAACAGTTTAAATTCCATCAGTTCTGCCTAAAAACAGTTTAAATTCCATCAGTTCTGCCTAAAAACAGTTTAAATTCCATCAGTTCTGCCTAAAAACAGTTTAAATTCCATCAGTTCTGCCTAAAAACAGTTTAAATTCCATCAGTTCTGCCTAAAAACAGTTTAAATTCCATCAGTTCTGCCTAAAAACAGTTTAAATTCCATCAGTTCTGCCTAAAAACAGTTTAAATTCCATCAGTTCTGCCTAAAAACAGTTTAAATTCCATCAGTTCTGCCTAAAAACAGTTTAAATTCCATCAGTTCTGCCTAAAAACAGTTTAAATTCCATCAGTTCTGCCTAAAAACAGTTTAAATTCCATCAGTTCTGCCTAAAAACAGTTTAAATTCCATCAGTTCTGCCTAAAAACAGTTTAAATTCCATCAGTTCTGCCTAAAAACAGTTTAAATTCCATCAGTTCTGCCTAAAAACAGTTTAAATTCCATCAACCATTCTGGCCAGAACAACCTCTTTATACTGAGATAAATTGTTAAAGTCCTCACCAGTCTGAGGCGAGAAAAGAACTTACTTGGGAGATATTCCTCACCCAAATTCACAATCGTTTGTTTGCAGAAATCAGTAACTTGGGGCGCAAGTTATCCATTCCAAACTAAGTCTGCTAGAATTTTTATTACTAGCAGTGGCACGCTCGCACACCAAAGAAAGCTGACTTGTTGACCAGTCTATGGTTCTCAAGGCAGTGGGGAACTTTGCCCTTCCATCACAGGAGTAAACGCAAAACGGGCAAACACCTAGCTTTACCCATTGGAAACAAGCCTTTTCCAGCACTTCCTATTACCCACTGGAAACAAGCAGTTTCTAGTGCTTCTTTTTACCCATAGGAAATAATCAGTTTATGGTACCTAGATTTACATGCTGAAAAATAGTATGCCTTAGTGCTCCCTTTTAACCACTGAAAATAGGCTGGTTCCAGCACCTCCCTTTACCTATTGGAAATAAAAGAAAACTCTCACCCTCTATAAATTGGCATTCATGGCTCAAGCAAAGGGCACCAATTTTTCTTCAGCCAACACTCCTCACTCAGCTACTGCAAGCATCCCAGCAGCCATCAACCCATCTTAGTTGCTGCAAGCTTCTCAGCAACCGTGAGAACTCACCTTTTCTTAGCTGTTGCAAGTATTCCAATAGCCTTCATAATCATTCCTCAGCCATCACAACCATGTCTTCTACTTTC